TTTTACAAATCGGGATTTGGCCATTTTCTCTCATATTTTCTTGGCTTGGGCGATTCTTGGAGGGTTTCAAGAGGGGATTTTCACCATTAACGATAAGGTAAGCTATCCTCACCTATCTTGAGTTAAATACATTGATTATGTATGGATTTTAGCATGTAAATTGGTAGAAGTTTGGGGGTTTGAGGAAGACCTAGAAAATTGATATTCTTGGAATTTGACCACAATTTTGGGTATGGAATTGAGAGTAAATTATATATTTAATTTCTTGAGGCTATGGGTAAACTTATTCTTCGAAAATTTTGGGAAATCCGGGCACGTGGGCCCGAGGGCGTTTTTGTCAGCTTTTTGATCGGGGTTAGGAATTGCTATAAATTGGATTGTAATGAGTAATTGAGCATATATTAATGGATTTGCGTAATAATTGGCTAGCTTTGGAGCATTTAGCATCGATTTCGAGTCTTCGGAAGGGCGTGGAATGCCGGTTATGGATCTTCGGAGCGAGGTGAGTCTCCTTTCTAACCTTGTAAGAGGAAATTATCCCCATAGGTGAAATAAATTGTTATGTGCTCCTATTTGTGGGGCCTACGTACGCACGAGGTGACGAGAGTCCGTGCGTAGCTACTAATATGTGTAAGTCCAGGTAGTCTAGGACCCAAAAGCATGCTATTCTTGGAATATCTGTGATCTTATTGACAGCTGAATTTCTTAAACGTTATCGAATCGGTAAATGAATTTCTAAGAGGATTAAACTTCTTTTTCTTAAATCATTAAAAGAGAATTGGCTTCTATTTGGATAAATGTCCCCCGATAAATTCTTAATTTGCTGTTTGAGCACGTATTTCTATGTATACCTGCGTCGCATGTATGATTCGCGAGCAGGGTGATTGTTTAGTTAAATTTGATCTCGTCGCATGTGTGATTCGCGAGCGGGGTAATAGATGCATCTATGGTTAGTGCCGCTCGACCCTCGGCAGTGCACAGTTTACATTTCTTTTGGATTGGGCCGTACGACCTCGGCGTGAGTTGCGCGTGCTTGAATTGCTTTTCTTGAGATCTATTGATATTGCTGTCTGCTCCCCCGACTTGAGATAATTGTTAATTAATGGATTATGAATCCGGAGACTTTAAATAAAAAGGAACTTTCACCTGTTTAGTGACTCATTTAAATCTTACTGTTGTTCATAATAAATCCGTGAGTCATCGCATTAATAATATTATTACTGGACCTTTAGTAAGTGTCGAAGTTGCCATCTCGTCTCAACTTCTTCGAGATTAAGCAGGATACTTACTGAGTACACGTTATTTTTGTACTCATACTACACTTCTGTGCATTTTTGTTGCACAGGCACATGCATCTCTAGTGCCCTAGTGGGCTTAGCAGTATGGTTGACACGGAGACTAGGTGAGCTGTATTTCCTCGAGGTGACCCGCAGCTAGTATAGTCTCTCTCAGGATTCTATTTATTTTCTGTCCAATTGTATCGCGGACAGCTGTTGTACTTTATTCGATTTTTCTTTGAAATTGCTCATGCACTTGTGACACCGGGTTCTGGGATGGTTATGAAGTATTTTGTATTAATTGCTTATCATTTAATTTGAATTGAGGTGATTATCTTTTTAATTGGTAAATTTGAAGGAAAATCATAGATTTCAAGAGTATTAAAACGAAAATTTAATTAAGTATTTTTGGTTGGCTTGCCTGACAGTGGTGTCCGGCACCATCACGACCCTTAGTGGATTTTGGGTCGTGACAGCGTACAAGTCATAATACCTTAAGTGAAGCTGCCCATGGTCTCAAGTTGCTGAATGATGCACTAGAGCTCAAAATGACCGGTCGGGTCGTTACATTAAATTTGGCTTTAGAGATGTAATTAGCTGAGGCGGATGTAATGTATCGGCATCAGGTTCAACTAAACCCAGTACTTTGGCATAGAGCATAAATTTATGTGCCAAAATTTATTAATATTGTAATCTATGGCAATATGAACTCATAACTTTAAAAATACAATGGATCAATTATAAAAACCTTAAATGTTGAACTCATAAAGCTCAAATCCTAGATCCGAGATTGGTAATTAGTCTTGTAGAAGTCAATCTTTTACCAATTGACCGAAAGTTCAAATCACATGAATGATAAGTAAAAATATTATTTATTAATCCTCGTGAGTAATGTTACACACAACATTCATACGCTAGTATAACATACTCCCTCTAATTCACTTAAAATGATTGTTTGGCCTTTTTTAAGTGGTCCACAACATTTCATTTTTTTAGATATCAAGAAGGAACTAACTTCTTCTTTCCAAAGTTGCCCTTGAAGTAAAGAGCCTAGGAGTAGTTTATTATATTTTCAACGGAAAAGGGCCAAATATACCCCTCTACTTTCAAATATTGTTTACTTGTACCCTTTGTTATACTATTGGGCTATCCATACCCCTACCGTCATACTTTGTAGCATTATTGCCCTTAATTTGGACGGAGTGCCACGTGGCAGCTCCTCAATAAAACTTCTTATTTTATTTTATACTCGATCCGCTACCCACTTAAACCCCTAACCCGACCCAATTAAAACCCAACCCACCTTAAAATCTACGGAAGAAACACGCACGAAATACACCCTTCTCCTTACACTTCTCCCCTCCTTAAAATAGATCCCCAAATCCCAAAACTAGGGTTCCTCATATTTCAATTTCTGGGTTCTTTCAGTTTGTTTATGTGATTCTTAAAGTCGCTCTTATCTTATTTCTTTTAATTTTCCTTGGCAAGATTATATTTTAATCTGCAAAGAAGTTGATAATGTCAGAAAGTAGCTGCTCGTCCAAGAGGAGGTGTCATTGCGGTGAAATTGCTCACTTATTCACTTCAAAAACTTTTTTTAACCCCGAAAGGAGATTTTATAAGTGTCCTAAGCCTGAAGTAAGTACTATGATTAAATGTGTTATTTCTTTTATATGAAAAGATTTTTGGTTTCCCTCATGGATTTAATAGTTGATAATTTGAAATTCTAAATTTTTTTTTGGGCAGGCCAATTCTTGTGGATATTGGGAGTGGCTTGACGAAGTATTCCCCGATAGAGCATTGGTGGTGATAAGTAATCTAAAGGTTCAATTGGATGCAACTATGATCAAAATCAATACTTTGAGTACGTCATTGGATGCGATTAAGATTGACAGAGATAAGTTAAAGGAAAAGGTGAAGACTATGGAGGCTATAAATAATTCCCAAGTGAACAAAGCAAGGGAATTAGAAGAGAAATTTATTAGATGTTTATTATGATTTTTGTGCGATGTTTGCTGGATTTATTGCCGCATATTGTTGAAGTGATGTAGTTTGTTAGGTTGTATGAATTTTCAAGTCTTTGTAATATTAGTTTGAAGGCTGTGTTTTGAGTTCTCAAGTTAGGTTGTATGCAATCTATGTTTTGAGTTCTCAAGTTAGGTTGTATGCAATCAGTGTTTTGAAGCTGTTTTGACTCCCATATCTTTAATTTTGAGGTTGTTTTAATTTGTGTTTTGTACCAGTTTAATCTATGTTTGAAGGTTGTGTTTGAGGCTATACACCAGATCTGGCAAACCAATTTTCTGTAAGTTCTATGAAGTATGACTATATAATGCTTTGCATTTCACAAGTACATACTGTTTCCTTCAATACTGCAGATGATCTACTTTAACAAGAAAAGATTTGATAGGGAAGTTCAAATACGATATTTCTAGCTGCTACATTACAAGAATAAAGCATTACAATCACGTTTGTACGCTAAACAAGATATTTCTTAAGAAAGTCTTGCATGATATGCTGTTCACAAAAGGTTGAATTTTTTGTAATTGTATCCTTCCATTTCCGTTTTTTTCAAATACATAACAAGAAAAGATCTGATGAGGAGTTCAAATGAGCAGGTCACATTCAACTTTAATTAATGCAACAATGCTACATCACAAGAATAAAGCATATCAATCACTTTTGTAACAAGATATTTCTTGATCCCTTAAATGTGATGCTGGTCACAAAGGTTTTGGCATTACTCGAATTAGAATTACACATAACAAGTTACATAGTATTGCTAGACCAAATTAACCAAAGTAGTAAATAAGCAGTCCAGAAGCTGCTAGTCCAGAACCTAATAAGTAATTAACCAAAAGAGTACTATCATATGCAGTAATTACAAAAGAGTACTGTCATAAACAGTAAATACATCACCAAATGAACCAACTAAAACACAAACTAGTGCAAATTAACCAAAAGAGTACTGTCATAACAGTAGTTACAAAATAAAATAGTCTTAAACAGTAATAAACTACCGAAAATGTCCGTTCTTTGACTTCAACTTTCCAATCTTTTTGACGTTCAACTTCCAATTGATTTGTAGTCATAGCAGCTTTTCCCTTCCACATTAAGTTGTCTGGTGTATATGGAAGATTAGTTGGAATACTAGCTCCTGTATGGTCACCTCTGAAGCTAATTTGCCTGGTCCCAATTGGTATAAGTTTTTGCTGCCTCTTTTGGAGTCTAGTAAGTGTTTCTGAGATAACCATGGGCCTTAAATCAGGGTATGCCTCATGCTCATGCTCAGAGCAGGGGTTCTCAAAGTCTAGAAATGAACCCCTACTGTTTTGCAATCCTGGAGTAGGCATGAATATACAAGTGTTGCTTTGGCTATCTTGTGAATGTTGGAGGGCTGATAGATTAATGTCTTCTTCAATTTGACCCGCCTCTTCTTCATCATTTAAACCCCCAGTAGGCCGTTGCTTCTTTTTTCCTTTAGATACTACTTTTTTTTGTTTTGGTTGTTTTGGTTGTTTTGGCTGCCACATAGTAAATTCAATTAGTAAAAGGTTTGAAAAAGTTAATAAAATTTGAATGACTAGAAGTTACCTTATCACATCCTTGAGCATTGTGATTTGGCTCTCCACAAATACTACAAGTCATTATTCTACCCTTCTTTGAAAGAGACCATTCTCCTTGCCTCTTAATTGCCTCTTCTTTCTGTCTATCTCTCTTAACCTAAGGCCTTCCAGCTAGCTTGACCAACTCTGGAGGTTCCATTGCTTGAGAAGGGTCAACTTTCCAGAATTTCTCTCCCCTTACAGGTTGCGACTTATGTTTACATGTTAGCAAGCATGCTTCCTTGCTATGGAACCAATGCATTTTAGTTAGAGAATCAATCCTCTTATACAATAAGGCCTTAATTGCATGTGGGTATGGAATTCCAGTGAGGTCCCATGCCCTATAAGTGCACCTTTTTATTCTCAGATTCACAATATGCTTGTCAGACCCTTCTGATACCTCAAATCCATTATCCCCATTGGAGTCAACTCTACAAACTTGGGCTATCTTCATATATTCATTGTATAGCTTCATTGTTTTAGGACTGAATTCACCACTCCATTTAGTCACAGAATCTTCATGTTCTCTCAATTGATTCATCACTTTGATCCTTATATCCTCGAGCATCCCAATGATAGGCTTGTACCTTTCTTCAAGTATCTAGGCATTAAATGATTCAATTAGATTATTATCAACTGTTTGATTTTTGCACCTTGTATCAAAGTAGGCTCTGCACCAATACTGTGGAGGATATCTCAACAAATCCTTTACAGCAGGTTCATCAAGCTGTCCCATATGGTTCAGTTGATCCTGGAATTCCTCCTCATAACTACTCCATGCACTCCACCATAGTAGCTTTTCCAGCTCCCCACCACCTTTACTCCATCTTTTGCACCAGTTTGACTCTATGTGTCTGACACAAAATCTATGGTGTGCTTCAGGGAGTACAATGTTGATTGCATCAATTAATCCCTACATATGAAATGCAAACAATTAATGTTTACAGTAGAAACAAAAACAGAAACAGAAACTAATTTACATATGAAACAAAAAACAGAAACTTATTACAGCAGAACTATGAAACAGAAACAGCAGAAATGAAAACAACAGAAATGTTTACAGCAGAACTATGAAGCAGAAGTAGCAGAAATGTTTACAGCAGAAATGTTTACATATGAAACTTATTACAGCAGAAACAGAAACTAATTTACAGCAAAAATAGAATTTTTACAAACTGAAACAGAACTAAACAGCACTTAAATAGAACTAAGTTAAACTCAAATAGCAGAAACAAAAATAGAATTTTTACAAACTGAAACAGAACTAAACAACACTTAAACAGAAATAGAATTGTTTTGAAACTGAAACAGCACTTAAACAGAAACAAAAGCAGAATTGTTTTGAAACTGAGACATCACTAAATAGAAACAGAAATTGATATTATTTGAAACAGAAATAAAGTACCTTTTGCATATCCGACATGAATGTTATGCCTTCACCTATCTGGAGTTCCAATGAATTGTGCAATAGCCCCAAGAACCAATTCCAAGTTCTTTTTGTCTCTTTATCTACAATTGCCCAAGATAAAGGATAAAAGTGGTTCATATTATCTTGACCAACAGCTACCAGTAATTGTCCCTTGGCTTTTCCCTTAAGGAATGTACCATCTAATCCAATGAAGGGTCTCAAACCTTCCTTAAATCCCATCTTCATTGCCTTGAAGAAAATATACATTCTAAGAAATTTTCTTTTACCTTTGGCAAGTGCCTCTTTAGACAGATTGATTACAACATCACTTCCCGGATTTGAGTCTCTTAGTTCATTGGCATAAGCCTCTAATTTCTTGTAACCATCTGTAAAGCTCCCCTCCAAAATTTCCAAAACCATCCTTTTAGCTCTCTTGCACTTTCCTTTACTAGCATTTAACTCAAATGCTTCTTTTAAATCAGTCCTCATTTCCTTTACCTTAAATTTTGGATTATCTTGTAATTTTTTCTTGAAATAATGAGCTATAGTAGTGTGATCAACCCTAGAGTTGTCATATGATGGACCACACTCATGTTTAGGATTTAAAGTTTTGATTTTCACTCTAGGAGAACCTTTTTCCTCAGAAATATGACATACAAATGGACACCCTGGAATACATTCATATCTCAACCTATGCTTATCACTTTTAACAACCTCTAACTCTACCTTATTGGCCAAACAATAAAGTTTAATGCACTTCCTTGCTTCTGGTATGCCCTTGAAGGACATATCCTTAAATAATTCTTTGTAACCTTCTAGACCCACAGTAATCTTTCTTTTCTTTTGAGTAGCAATTGATTCCAACTCTTCAGAGTCATATTCTGGACAATCAGAACCAGCTTCGCAGTCACTCTCACTCTCATTCTCACTACAATCAGTACCAACCTCATTAACCACAGAAAAAAATGATTTAGTATGTTGGACAATATTGGGAACTTCTACAGAAGGCTCACATTCATCTACTGCATATATGTTAATGATACGATACTCTTCAGAAACAAGGGAATATAACTTCCTAATCCCATCATCCCCCTCTATTTTATAGTATTTTCCAGAAGGAGCAGTTACAATAAGCTGCTGAATACCTACAAATCCTAACTCTGTAGTGTACTCATTTACTATGTCAATAAAAGATAAAAGATCAAGATCATACCCCGGCCAAGTGTGAACCAATTTCTTAGAGTATAGTAGATGTGGTTCTCTTATCCAATCACCACCATGATTGAAGAGTAAGTCAACTTTAATCATTTTATACCCTGCAAACATTTGAGGGGACCACTTATCAAAATAATTTCCAAGTTGCAGTAAAGAATAAAAAATACAACTACTTTGTCCTACTTAAAAGGGACAATAGAATTTAAAACATGAAAAGGGACCGCATTGTCCTACATAAAAAACAAAAAACAGAGCATACATGAGGAATAAAATAATTAAAAAGACTGTTAAGTAATTAAAAACGGAAAAGGGACAGCACTGTTATAGATGAAAAACACAAAACGACAGATGAAGAATAAAATACACGATGCCCTATTAAACTAAACCACACATCTCTTAAATTCAACATCCCCAAATTACTGAACCCCAAAAACTATGCAAAATCCAAAAGGACCACCACTTAGAAGTACACATGCAAACAAAATTTAGCACTAAACCTAAACAATAACACCCTAAATATATACATATACATATATATTGTCGATTTGAACCAACACCTAAAACCCTAGACTAAAAAAAAGTTTCTGAAATTCATAAATGACTTGGTTGTAAACCCTAAAAGAAACCTTAAATAATTTTAGAAACATATTTACCTTCTAAATAAAGGGAAAATACATAAGTTATCCCCTGAACTATGGACCAAATCCCTGTTACACACTTTTTGTCGATAAAAACCACCTCACACACCCAACCTTTTTAAAGAGTAGCTAAGACATACCACTTTTTTCTTCACCAATTTGTCATAAGATGTGTAATTTCACGCACCAACAAGATCATGACACGTGTCATAACTCAAGAAAACAAATAAAACACTTAATTTCCACCCTAATTAATATTCTTTCTTAAAAAAAGAAAAAAAAGGATTCTCCCAACCCATCTCTCTTCTTCCCCAATCCACTTTTGTCATCTTATTCATTAAAGTTTTCTCCTCCATTAAAACCCACCGGAATAACCTTCCAAATCACGGAACCTCCAATTTTCTCCATTTTTCTCTCATTTCATACCCAACAGCCGCCCAACTCCTCTCTCACCTCTACTGGACGTCGGACAACTCCACGCAGATCTGAGTTGTCGGTTGGCGGTGAAGTTCTGGCGGGATCTTTTCTGCATTTCCAATACCTAAACCTTCCATCTCCAGCCATTCGAGTTCCTACGTATTTAGCAAACTCACAACTCAAATGCACAAATTCAAAAACATGAAGAACCAAGAAACCCACAGCAAAAAAAAAATCCAAAAAGTACTACAAATGCATTTTTCTTGATAGATAACGTAAAGGTGAAAACTAATTATCTAGTCAAGTCGGTATTTCAGTTCCACTGATTTTAGCTTGCAAGCATTTCTGAAAGTTAATACCCATTTGAATGTTTCCAAGCGTGTCGAATTATAACGAAAGAATTGATTTCGATGCCCGATGAGTGTTGTTTGGATGCTCAAAGCTCAAATTTCGACTCCGACCAAGAAAGTACTCAGCGTCGATTCTGAAAAGTGACCTTCATTCTCTGTTGAGTTCCACTGATTATTGTGTGGAAGAGGGGTCAAATTGGAGGTATAATAATTGAAAATAGAAAAAAAAAAGACTCAAAAAAGTTTTAAAAAATAAAAAGGCTGGACATGTGGCATTTTGATAATGGTTCAGACTCAAAATTTTGTATTCACTCGCCTTATTTATGTGTAAATCACGTGCACGCCAGCTGTCAAAAGTGGTGTGTCTTAACTACACTTTGGAAAGGTTGAGTGTGTAAGGTGATTTTCGTTCGCAAAAGGTGTGTAACAGAGATTTGGTCCATAGTTCAGGGGGTAACTTATGTATTTTGCCTCTAAATAAACTTAAACAAAGATTTAATTAAAGAAAATTTGTACCTTGGTTGTACAGCAGAACTATGAAGAATATGACATTGAGGAACCCTAATTTTGGGATTTGGGGATCTGTTTGAACGAGGGGAGAAGGGTAAGGAGAAGGGTGCATTTCGTGTGTGTGTTTCTTCCGTAAATTTTAAGGTGGGTTGGATTTTAATTGGGTCGGGTTAGGGGTTTAAGTGGGTAGAGGATCGGGTATAAAATAAAATGGGAAGTTTTATTCAGGAGCTGCCACGTGGCACTCCGTCCAAATTAAGGGCAATAATACACAAAGTATGACGGTAGGGGTATGGATAGCCCAATAGTATAACGAAGGGTACAAATAAATAACATTTGAAAGTAGAGGGGTATAATTGGCTCTTTTCTGTATTTTCAATGAGTAAATTAAGATTAATATGGTAAATTTCATTGTTAATTTATGCAAAAATATAAATTCCTTAATCCGTGTGAAAAACGCCAAAAAATCACTTAAAGAGACCGGAGGGAGTATGGATTTCTTATACTTCTTTTACGTGATGGAACTGCTCAGTTATATATATATATATATATATATATATATATAAAGAAACAATATTTTATTACTGAATGCTGAAGGTAAATTAAAAGGAAGTCTAATTCTCCTCCATCTCAGGACTGTCTCCTTAAATGGTGCAAAAGAGGGAAGTCAATGCGGATACCTTAAAACACAAGCTATGTCGTAATTAGAATGATATCCTCCGCCGACAAGTGTGCACGTTCTGGTTGACGTTCCATGCTTTATTTCACCAAAACTCAGGTAGAAATGCACCATAAAAGTCGGTGAAATTAAAGATTTTTTTCCTTCTTTTCTATGTTCTTAATGGTGCGTGATATGTGCATTGAGTTTAGGAAATTTTTCCAATTAGAAGATAACTATTCTTATACTTTCTTCGGTCTACGATAAGTGATTTTTTTAGTTATTTTCACACAGATTAAGAAATTCATATTTTAGCATTAATAGGTAAAGAAATAGATTATATTAACCTTTACTATCTTTCACATAAACACTCCTAACACATACTCCAACACTATTTACTCCAAGGGCAATGTAGGAAAAAAACAATTAATTCATTCTTGAAATCTGAAAAAATCACTTATTTTGAACAATAAAAAAAGAGTCAAAAAATCACTTATTGTGGACCGGAGAGAGTATGCAATAAAAATTCATTACAAAGTAATATGAAATGAAAAGAAAGGGAAAAAGAAGCGCAAAATCCTGGCACATGCACTTTAAAAATTGTGTTTCTCTTTTTTTTTTCGTAGCAGAAATCTCAATATCTATAGTTATATGAACTTTTCGTTTGTTAATACTCTATAGTACAATGTTGGAATATTATGTTGTTTACAAGTGTTTTGTGGGACCTGCTTTGAGGATGAACAATTCAACTTTGAGTAGATTAAGGACATATGATTGCGTTGTGTTTTGGATTTGGTGTTTAATATGTGGCATAAAAGTTACTTATTTAATTATTTTGTAAGTGTTAAAAAGTTCATTCAATTTGTTGAGAATTTATCCAAAGAACACTTTTGTCATAAGCTAAAATTTATAGTTTTTTGAAACTGCAATTTAGTTTTAAAAGTTAAACCTCATTTCGAAGGCAATTTGCTTATTATCGAATGTAAGACTTTCTTTTTTGTTTTAGGTTGATTTATTATGTGTACTAGGTGGTGCTGGTCCATGCCAGCATGGCCCCAATATGATAAAAGCTGAAATTATTAATTTTTTTTAACTCTATTTTGATATGAAATGGCATAAAAGAGGATCAGATGCATACAGGGGCGAAGCTACAGTTACTTAAGGGTGATCAATTGACCACCCTTCGTCAAAAAATTACACTGTATATATAGTTGAATACCCTTCGACAAAAAATTACACTGTATATATAGTTAAAATATTAGGTTTTAGAGGTAAATAACATATATTGAACATCCTTTGCCGAGGAATTGTTTCACTTCTTTCAAGTTTGAACACCCTTCAAGAAATTCATGGCTTCGCCAGTGGATACATGTAAAAATTTATCAAATATAAACAATATTGCTGGATATAAGTAGATATAATTTGAAACAATTATCCACTCACGAATATAGTATGATCCCCAAATGATACACTGTTTACATCTATGAGAGCGCAACGACAATACACAAATGACAGTTTTCTTCCATCATAATGATCAGCCACAATAGTAAAAGAGATGGATTAGGTATGCCCTTGCTCAAAGTTTAGGCTTGATGATCTTGACATCTTTGCAGGTGAATTATATGTTACCATCAATGTTCTTGGGAAGCTCCCGCTCCTCATCCTTTTTTCTCTTTCGTGCTTTTTTCGTAATTGATCACGCCCAACTATGCTTTCTAAAAGGGACAAGCGGTCGTTGCAAATATAATCTGAGTATTTAGCCCAGACTCGAATCCCGCAAGGAATTAACCTACCAATTACTTTTGTTAGACTCACTAAATTCTTCGTAACCAACTTCCCAGATATTTGGAATAGCAATTGGTGATATTTTTACTAACTATAACTGAATGAAGTTAAGTAAATTAAGAACTAATTATGATTGAGTTGTTAACAAATAAGAGAAGGATCTAAGGTTGTGATTTCCCCTATTGATGGAATCCCTTCCTGTTATGTTTCGATTAGAATTGCCTAATCGTCTCTATCGATCATGAGCACTCTTACTACCGTGAATCTCTCCCGAGTAATTACGACAATTTACTAGACGCACTCTCCCGAGTTACGCTAGCTGGCTTTTATTACAGCTCACTTTAGATCACACCCAAGGTTTCGTTATCCCTAATCCCACCTTTAAACCCTCGGTTATTGATTCCTCATATACTTTGGGAGTAGTGTTGTTCAACAACTACCTAAATATACACTCTCTCCCGAATAATACATACTAAATAGGCACAACTAATTAAAGATCCTATCAATTAACTACAACAAGAACGTAGTTGAACAAATAGAGATTAAACTGGGCAAACTATATTAACACAACAAGAAGTTCATCCTCAACAGGTTCCATCAAAACCCTAGACTAAATAATTAGCTACTCATAATCATGTTCATAATAACAGCAAAATTCAACATGAATGATAAATACAAAAGGAAGAAAGGTAGAACTCAATGTCGAATTATCCTCCTTGCATCTTGCCTCTTCTTGCCTTCACAAAAATCTATAAAAACCTTGATAATGTCTTTTTGGGCGAGCGGGACCTTTTATAGGTTAAGTGGAATTACCCCCAAACTTCCAAGTTTACCCCTGAACTACTGCGCTCCAGATTTGACTAGCGCGGCCGCGCTCGAACCGCGCTAGTGGCCGCCCATATCGCTGAGTGTTCTGCCTCGATTTCCTGCTCTAGCGCGGTCGCGCTAAGGTCGCGCTAGAGTGAATCAGCCTTTTTTCTCTTCTTTTCTTTCTTCTTTTACACGTACTCAGCTCCGAGGGGCTTCCCTTGCTTTAATTTAGCTCCAAACACTGTCCTAAGTCTTCATAAGCACAACTTGCTCCTGTAAAACATGAAATTCACAATTAGAGCCAATTTATCGTCATTTAACCATCCTAGAGCAGTGAAGCATAGTCAAGTTGGGGCATAAACAGTCGCCAAACTACATGAATGTAGCCTATTATCAGTCATCATACAAATATTCTTATCATCCTTATTTTATTCTTGACATCCTCCTCCTAGATAAATAGAGAGGAATCATTGGAGTAAGACAATCATCAACAAAAATTTACATGGATAATGATATTGTACAAAAGTCACCCAAATTCAAAAAAAGAAAAGATTATAAACTAAAGCAATATTTGAAAGAACCTATATTTAAATGACAGTACACGATCCACACATGGATCAGTGAATAAAAAATTCAAATTCTTTTGAGTTTTCTGGCAAATTTTAAATGCAAGCTTATTATGATATCATATCTATGGAACAAATACATATCTATGTGCTTGTATTTAGTGCGCGCAAGAAGTTCCTATTCTTCCCATGTTATTATAATATTGAGCACTCTTTTTTTAAGAATAATATTTCTTTGAGAATTTTCGCAACACAATTTATGGGGAAAAGGATTAATCCTTAATCCTTACATTGGCATAGTGCCACTAATACTTCCGTTACAATAACGGAGATAGATATTATAACCTGATTTCAACTAATAAGATGGAGTAGTTGTTAAGACAGTCCTCCTAAATTTGATATAAAATTTCTTGTTGGAGTGTTCCTTGCTCAAGAACAACCTCATATTTCCAAGTTAAAAGGCCACCAAGTGCACTTGATACAAACTGGGATTCATGGTATAAACGTATGAGGAGCTACATAAACAGTAAGGTAATCTCACTTCTTATTACTTTCAAATTGTCATGTTTAACCATTGATATTTTATGTCCCGGTTCTTACAATACAGAGCACTCCATAATTATCAGGCACACAAATTGACTTCAAACCAGATTAACACAGGTACTTTCTTTCATTTCTAAGTGCCCTAACTTTTAGAGCTGATCAACATATATCAACAACTAATGGTAAACATAAAAATCAAAAACTTCCTCTCTGTCTGGTCACTAATCATATACTCTCTGCAAAACAACAGACTTCCTAAATTCCATCACACAAAGTGCTTTGATTGAACTATAATTTGATAACGTAATATACAGAGATTTTTTTAATGAAAAATAACCTATACGAAGATTTTAACATCTTGACCACCTTTCTACTATTATTTCATATTATTTGATTGAAATAAGATCAGTATTTTAAAAAAATATTCATTCATTAACTAAATTTTGATGACATAATGTAGTAAGAGAAACAATGAGAAAATGAGGGCATGAAAGTGAATGTCGCTGTAGGGTGGAAAGAAAGAATATAAATTGTAGAAACAAAACTTAATTGTGGTAAATACTTACTTGTCACTGGCATATGAGAACTACATCAAACAATGTATCCTCAGCAGTTGTCCAATACCTTTAATATAAATACCAGAAGGAGGTTTCCATCAAAAGTTGAACTAACATAATAATGAAAGATAACAAAAAAAATTCTCTGGTATGAACTGGTCTTAGCTACTTCCTTTAGCAACAAGGGATATGTGAATGAGAGGCTCATTGTACAGACTAAAGTACATGGCTCCACTCCCCAATCCAATAGTTCTATTTAGTTTTATCCCAAGAAAGTATTTTGGCTACAAATTATAAGTACGTAACTCCAAATAAGTAGCACTAAATAAAGAAGGCATATCATCAAACATCATAAGTGCATAATCCACTTCAAAATTTCAGTAATTAAGCAATGAAAAGATTATATAGGTGAAAGAAAAAATATATCATATAACTTCATATATGTATACATGTATTATGAAGAAGAAGTTTGGCGCAAATCAAGAGACCTAACCTTCCAGCATCAATTTTCATATGTCAGATTTTTGGTAGAACAGTTTAATTCTACACTAAATTAGTTGGTATCTGTTTGCTACTTTGCTTAGTTACCATCTTACTCTAGACTAAAACATCAAACCAGATTGGATTCTTTCATAAGTACACTCTTAGTCCCAACTCAACCAAAACCCTCTGGGGTTTCCTAGTTCTGGTGAAGTTCACATTTGTTCAAATGAAGCAGAGAAGACATCATGAATCAATTTCAATCTAATTTGACAATACTATTAAGTAAAGACAAAGAAGGGGAACAATCATAATAGATGAGCAAAATCATCAATATTAAGCTAATATATTTCTCCTTGTTTAAATTTGAAATTCCACCAAAAAGTATTTGAGCATAGACAATTCATATATGTAAAGAACAAATTGGGAAATAAAGAAAAAAATCAGAATAGAACTCAGCCAAGCATTGTAACAATAGATGAAGTCAATAGCTGGTGCAAAAATGATTCGCATCAGACAAAAAGTAGTGAAAAATAAGAAACAAAAAGAAGCGCAAAAACCAAATGCTCAGTAAAGTGCAATAAAAATTGACAAAAGGCAAAGTAGTTTACAGTCCAATTGAGAACATAAAAAGAAGATCGAAAGAAAGATATAAGCAAATTCAGAGTGAGGGGAAGAAACTAACCAGGAGCAGAGGCTAGGACGGAGAACAGAGCAGTTTGATCTGGTAGGTTGATCGAGCTCTGCTTTTTGCTGTAAGTTCCAAGGTGTGGCCTTTGCATTAAAACACACGTGGATTGCAGTGATGTTGTGGCTATACAATTAAGAGACAATGCCTAAATACGTGAAAAGTCAAAAATACCCTTGACTTCTAATTTATAGACAATAAGCACACAGGTCGAAACCTGTGGCTCTTCTATAATATAGAAATATTAATTAATGTTACTAAAAAGTAAGAAACTATATACTACATAATTTCTGATCTTTTTTTTTTTTTTTGGGTGGAAATTTCTGATCTTCTCTCTCTAAACCATATTCTCCTCATCCACCGAACCCCAAACGAACCCTTAATTGGAAAATACTATTTTTTTTATTTATTTATTTTTTAAAAATTTTAACAATCTCATTCACCGTCAAACTCAAAAAGAACGATTTAGTTCTTTGGTCCTATTTAATTTTAGGGAAACTTTCATGAAGCATTACAGTTTAGAGTATAATTACCGTGTGTAATTATACTTTGTCTAATTACCATTTAATTGTTATCAACTTGTATCACTTGTATTCACACGCACAACAAATACAACATGTGTTAATGTATTCGTTCGCGCAACGAATACAACCAATGTGAAGTACAGGGCGATACAAGTGATACAACATCTATTGACTATATTCATTCATGCAACGAATACAACCAAGGAAAAATACAGAAAATAAAATGCTTGAGTCGAATACAGGGGCATATACAAATGATACCACTTATATCAACTGTATTCGTTTCGCGCAACGAATACAACCAAGACAAAATGCAAAAATACAGAAAATAAAATGCTCTTAATATTGTTGCTTTCTTTTGAGTTCGAAACAATTGATCTTTTATTTCAGTACGATACGTAGATTTGCTATAAAATCAAATATTGCTAAAGATGGTAATTCTAAAAAAAATATAATGACGAATGATAAATATAATATATGTTTACCGTGTCGTTTAAATTTTCCAATAAACATACACTGCTGCTTGTTCTCAGGTGCTAATAGCCTCCAGAGTACTCCTTTCGGTCCACAACAAGTGACCATTTTACCTTTTTATTTTGGTCCAAAATAAATATCCATTTACATAATCAAGAAGAGTTAGTTTTATTTTTTCAAAATTTGTCCTTATTTACATATTTCAATGTGTTAAGGTAACAATTAATTAAGATTAATTTAGTAAATACATCTTTTTTTCTCTAGGAGTTCGTATTTCCTTAATGGGTGTGCCAAAAATAAAATGATCACTAATTGTGGATCGAAGGAAGTAATAGTTTACCAATTCTTTTTTAGGTAGACCAAATTGGTCCGTAAAAAGAGTTTTGACTTATGCAAAATCTGATCTATTATAGACGTATTTCCAAACATAAATTGGATAAATTGGCGGTTTACATTTGTGTTTGACATCCTAGTTACAACCACACAGGTCTAAGACAAAGGATCCAGCTTCGACCTGGCGGGATTTAATTCAGTAGATGTAAAAGGGCCTTAACCCAATTATTGGGTTAGGAAAATTTCTATACTATTTGTTTCCGAATAGCATCAGAGTAGCTGTAGTCTTCAAGGGGTCATCCCCATCTAGCAGGAATAACACTATGGAATCTCATTTGAAGCTTTACTATTCGGCCCTTTAACTCGCAGGTTGCACCCCGCTCCAAGCACGACGATCATCATCGTCTGTCCTATGGTTGTGATTATTCTGCAAGTATGATATGCCTGTCCATACTCCTCGAATAAGTAAGATACTAGCAAAAATTACGCTCCCGAGGGTGCAAAATACCTGGAAACCATAAAGACCAAAGTAAGGGACGATTCAGTCGAGGGTCTACTGGAAACAACCTCTCTATCCTCACAAGGTAGGGGTAAGACCTGCGTACACACTACCCTCACTAGACCCCACGGTGTGGGATAATACTGGGGATGTTGTTGTTGTTGTAAGGGACTATTCACTATAAAAAGGAAGTCCTCCAGATCAAGGGAACTAACGAGTGAAAAAAGACAAGATGGAACACTTATTTTCATACTGATTACAAGGAACTCAATTCACAGAGAAAACCGTAACAAGTGTTTAATCAACAAAGACAAGGACCTATTTTCACACTGCGGAAAATGCTGAAGTAAAGATTTGATTAGTGATCTGCAATGGTGCATAGTCTAAGTAGAGTAAGATTGAAGATATTCTCATGCTGCACAGCAAGATGAAGTAACATCCTACTAAAGCTTCAACTTTTGAAAATGAATCATCAAATGAAGTCCATGTCAATTTTGAAGTAAGAGTCCTTATTTGGTTTAAAGCGCTCTCAGACAAAAGGCACAATAATTAGCACAAGATTACATGTTGTAAATAGCAAACAACAATTTGAGTCTTCTAGACCGTGTTATGATGACAGCTATGTGCAGTACAGATAAGTTAATCTTTTCTCATATCTGTTTGATCAGAAGATGTACGAAACGAGTGCGCGCCAGCACACACACATATAAAATGCAGCGAGCACAAGACCCATTCAGCTTGAAAGAGTAAAAATGCTGAATAATTAAAATATTTGAAGCTCAATGTATTCCGAAGACCTACATGCCCAGAGGACGTGTCAAAAGAAGACTATAGAATAGAAAGTACATTACGAAGTAAGGCACCACATTGCACACAAGAACAGAAAATTAGTGGAAGAATTACCTCAAGAACTGCCTTGGATAGCCACAAAAATGTCAAAATTATAACTCCATTAACAGAAAATGCCACCTACATCCAATAATCACTGTTACTAACTCAACAACCAGCCAATGTGGAAAAATGTCAAGCTTTAGATATTCATACAAACAGGAAATATCATTGGGAACAGAATAGAATATGAAGGTTGAGGATCACTCTCACAGATTGCTAAATTGGAATAAGACCGAAAATCCATGAAAAGAAAATTGAATAAGAAGCTAATATATGGTCCGTTTAAAATGAGAAGCTAATAAATTCTTAAGCTAGGAATTTAAAAAATAAAAATAAAAATTGCATGGAGTGTGAGATAGCACAATGAATTATTGAATAAGGAGCTTATAACTCCTTACATAGGGACTGAGGAAATTAATGCAGGATACGTTAGCTAACATGTGGATTGCTCAGTCCCCTCCATCTATTTCCACCGAAAGGGTTGTCTACATCGCACCCCTTGAGGTGTGGCCCTTCTCCGGACCCTGCGTGAATGCGAGATGCTTTGTGCACCAGGCTGCCCTTAATTTTCTGATTCCTCATGGAGAAATATTCCCTCATTTTCTTGTTCATCAATCCTAATCTACTGAGAGCTGATCAGCTAGTATTCAATTGAGAGAACAATGTAGCTAACCATGTGATATACAGTACAAAAGCAGGTGTTCAATTTGCTATTGAGTTGATACTTAGATGACATAAAGAAACCGGGACTTTTCAAATCAAAGAGAACCAAAAAAAACATCTGAGGAAACATTAAAAAAGGATCTTCTTGAGAACTTAAGAAAATGTTAAATTAGTAGAGATCTTACACATTTAAAGCAAAGCACTGTTTTCTATATGTAAACAAGAAACCTAATACAATTAACTGTGTATAAGTATAAGAATAAATATCGACATATGGAGGATGAAAATAAGAGTGATTCCTCTGGAAGACATTCGTGCCAAACAGATTTTAAGATTATTTCTCATGGATAATTAATTACCAACATAATTTCACATCAGCATTTCTGCCATGTTACACATTGATTGGGATGCTAATTCTCCATTGCAAGGATGAAGTAAAAGTCCATTTATCCACACAGATGACTTTAAGATCATTACAGTGTCTAGTAACATGCATGGTATCACTGTAACTTCATTTACTATATCACTCGTCAAAGAACGTGAATATAAACAAAAACTTCAGTCTTCCACCAATAACATGCTTGTGGAAGATGACAGTATTTTCTCCAACAATAACCAAGTCAACTTCCTTATTTTTATTTTTTTTGAGAGTGGTAACAGAAAAAATAAATTTTTTTTTGACTTCCTTAACATCATCTCTACTTAAACTATAGTATTATCTAAACTTCCTTAGAGAGCAAACATTCACATTTGCACATATTGCAGCTGAAAGAGTTAACATTTTAACTCTATCATACTAAAAAGGGGCTTTCCATGTTCGGTACAGTTGATCATAAAATTCCAAATGGATTTACAGTGGCCCTCTGTGTGACGTGAATCCAGCAGGACCCCCGAGATCTTGCACCTTTTGAGTCATTAAGATCCATATAAACATGCAACACCCATCCACCGCCATTCCCAAAGATATGCCTTTAAAGATGCATCATTCTTCGCAGGCTAAACTTGCTAGGATATTAGGTAACATTTGGTAAGCAAAGACTGGTGTTTCATCCTTATGTTATCAGGTTTTATAACGAGAGAATAAGAAAATTATAGCCATATTGGAGAGAAGAAACTCAAGGTACTTTGAAACTAAAGGGAAATCAATCAGTATGATAAAGTAAAGGTGTGCTATTTGTTGGTGTAAGAAAGAATCAGATGATGCTAAAAATCTTATATAATTTGTAGGCACCCTAGCGCCTTATAGAACTGATAAGGGATGCAACTGTGGTCTTTGTAAGCATCATTCAGGACTACCAGGGACACTTTTCTGTTTCTATCGCACTATCTACAGCACTATCTTAGTTCTGTGATGCTTAGTGCTAATGAAATAATCTTTTACCAATCAAAAAAAAGAAAGGGAGGAGCTAAATCTAGCCGTAATAAAAGACAAAGTATCAGGACAATGAAAAGCATTGCATCCAAGAAAGAAAATCAATGAATTCCTATAACCGGAGTGTTAGTGGGCTGAGTAAAAGTTAATAGTGTCGATGACGATGTTCTCAAATCAAATCACCATTCAAGATGGAAAAAGAAAGACTTGCAGAAAGTTTAAGCACCTAACATGTATACCGAATCAGGTGATCATCTTGCTACTCTATCTCTGTTTTCCTTTGGTTTTTCTCTCACAATGTCACATTTTTAATGCACGCCTAATCCATTATTTTTCCTCCTTTGCGACTAAAAAATTTCAATTCTATGTCCATTTGCTCGTAGAAATATGATAGAGTATATTATAATAGTACGAGCTAGCATTGGAATGAATCGAACCTGAACAGATTGGAACGAGTATAAAGGATTCATATAGTCGACCCCAAATAATTAGGGACCGAGACATAGTTGATTGATTGATTAATATAAAACTGAGCTCAATGTCAAAGTTATAATTCTAAACTCCTTGAAAGCATGATTTAGATAAAAGATTCGATTTTTCTAAAAATAAGCAGTAGAAATTCATATCGAACCGTGAAAATGAGATACAAGAAGAAGGATACCAATTGACTGGAGATTGAAACAGGCAAAACGGACCGGACAGCTCTCCTAGCTTTTCGAGAAAGCTTCTTGAAAACATTCTGAACAAATTTAACCAGCAGATCTAAACTTCGATCCTCCTCTTCTTCGTCTTCATCATCGTCATCTTCATACTCTTCATACCTATAGTCTCCACTCACTACGCTGCCTCGATTACGCCTCCAGTTTCGTGAATGCCCAGCCAAATCATCACTTCCCTAAAAAAAAAAAACACAAGTCCTAAATAAGCATTAATGAAAAAAATAAAACGAATCAGAATTAGAAGGGTCTAAATAAAGTGGAATGGACCTAAAGAACTCATATATCCGATTCTGATTAAATAAAATTGAATTTTATTTTTTTTAATATATAAGAAAAGGCTACTGGATAGGGAGGAATAAACAAGAAAACCTGAGGAAAATTGGAAATGCGTCTTGAGGCTTGAAGATGAAATGTAGGGACGGGGCGGGGGTTGAAAAGAAGATGGGTAAAACGGTAATTTTTGTAGATAGGAAAGTGAAAATGATGAAGAGATTTTATGATGGACTCCATGAAAATGAGTAGCAGTTGTATTGTTGAGCATCTAAAAAGAGTCCCAGGTTCTGTTGCCACCTTTTTCCCATTTTTGCTCTTTCTTGCCCTCTCCGTTGTTCCTTTTTCCTGTGCTTTTCTTTTTCCTTTTCTTTTTCTTTTTTCTTCTCTACTTTGGCTTCAAAGTATTTTAGTTCCGAAATAACTTGATTACATTTACTAGATCAATATTTACAAAGCTCACAATGAGGTAATATTATTAACACCAAGTTAATTTCTTAATTTCATTTCCACGTCAAAGTTAGCTATTTCTTAATTAAATTTCAAACAATGGCTAAATATTACAAAGCAGTCCAAAAATAACGGATAGCTATTTCTTAATCAGATTTCAAGTAATGGCTAAATATTAAAAAGCTATCAAAAAAATAACCATCCATCCCAATTTTTACCAGAAACTGTAACCTGTTGACAACTCTTGACAGCGTTCCCAATAGTGCGGCCAACTTCAGGTAACTGATTGGGCCCAAAAACAAGGGCAGCAATCACCACCAGCTCAAGTAAAAATAGCACGGTATAGTCAGTTTTCGGACTGGTCAATCAAAAATAGCCAGCGTTTATCAAGTCAATGAAAAATAGCCACTATTTTGCTGCAATAGAGACCGGTCCAGCATAATATACTGGAGTTCGGTGCGCTTGTGTATGAACTCCAGCATATTATGCTGGACCGGTAAACTTTGCTGGCTCCAGTATAATATATTGGAGACTGGAGCACCGGTAGGGGTGTACATGGACCGGGTTGGTTCGGTTTTTATTAAAACCAAACCAAACCAACTATATCGGGTTGGATTGGCTCGGTTTTGTCGGGTTTTTCGGATTTTTTTGTTATGTGAATATTATTTCAATCTTACTTTGTTAAATTTTTATAAGTAAATATATGTTTAGTAAAAATTGAAAAACTTGACAAACATATGATCTATTTAAATATTTTTATGGTAGTATTTTGTTAATAACACATAATAGTTATTTTTTTGGTCCTCTGACAATAATTTTTCGTTGATGTATACTTATAAGGTTAAACGAATTTAATAACTAAACATAAAAATCAACATGATACCTAATTAATGATAAGTTCTATTTAATTTTAGATTATCAAAATACCACTTCAAATTTGAAAAAGATATAAGAATTTAATAAATCTTGATATATGAACAAAGAAGAACAAAGAAATTGACGCATTTCAGATGGAGTACTTGATAAGAAAGTGATCATATAACCATTATTTAAGGTTAGTAAAAATGGAGTACTTCATATTCTATTAAATATTACATTCCATAAGAGAATCCCAAATATTTCTTGAATTTTTGTAAAGAAAATTCTATATAAAGTCTTAAAAGTATATATAAAAATTATATATTTATATGTCGGTTTGGTTCGGGTTTTTTTACTCAATACCAAACCAAATCAAACCAAACCTAGTCGGGTTTTTTAATCGGTTTGGTTTGACTTTTCGGTTTGGTGCGGTTTTCCGGTTCGGTTTGTACACATATTTGACTTGTCTTTGATCTCTTAATGAATATTCCAAGAGTTTCATGGAATTTCGGAGATCTCATATTTGATCTAGCCTTATTTATAGGCATGAATTAGGGTTTGGGTGTAGTAGCCATCAAGTAACCCTAGTAGACTCCTAATATTTCAAAAGTTGTCTTGAATTTAAGATTTATCTGTCTACAAGAACTTAGAAGTAATTTTATGTATTTGATAAAATCTGATCTTTCTTATACTTTATTAAAAACCATTTATCTGTAACAAAGACGTGCTCACCATGGATTGTAAATCTCAACCAGCTAAAAGTATACGATCACAAATGATCCTACGTGGTACAGTTATTATCTTATATAAGGATTATCAAATTCTCTTAATTCCTAAAAAAAAAAGGGTGATATGAAATATTGTTTGATTAGATATATACTACTGTATATAACTGATACTAACATATAGACTATGAGGGTTGGAGAATAGTTGTGCCTTTTTGTTTGTTTGGTCAAAATTTAAATGCTCAAGACTGACAGTAACGTTAAAAGATTAACGATAATAAATAATAATATTATTTTGGTTGTTAATTTTTAGTTTGGTCTATTTTTTTGTGTTTGGTACAGTTTAGTTGAATATTTTCCAATTCTTTTTATTTATAATAAATGTGTGGTACAACATTCGTATTACTGCTTTTGATATTAAACATGATTTTACTTTGACGTGATTAATCGAAAGAATCAGTGGCTTTCATGCATTCAAGAGGAAGAAGCCAATTCTTTCCAAAAGCAAGGAGCATCGCTCTAATCATTTACATAATTTTAGATAGTCACTCCCTTCTCAGAGAGCCGTGCGTGAGACTTTGGCCTTATACGGCTCTGTCTTAAGGTTGTACGGTCCGTCTTGACATTAAAGCATTATTTATATATATATTTTTAGTCTGGACTAACGAATCTTTTGCTTCTCACACTATTAAAAAACTTGAATTAGCTAAGAATCTATCGCTAAATCGTTCGTAGCTGACATTTTTTTAATAATTTATTATTAATCCGTTGCTAAGTAGGATTAAAGATGAATTTTGTTATTTAGCTATTAAATTTCTCCGTCACTAATTTTTGTTATTATTAGTGTCNCCCCCCCCCGCGGCGGTCGCCTCTTTCATTTCTTCTTCCTAATCCACCACCTTATTTCTTCTCTCTATCTTTTCTCTTCAATGTAGGAGCACTTTAAGTAATTTTTGTTTTGGTTTCATAATACTAGGGCAGGCATTCTCATAACATAGCATCCTTCTAAAAGTGTGTCACCCACCCAAAACAGTACAGATAAGTATTAAATTAAACTTGAAATAATCGCCAAAACATGACTAAGTTGATTATATCACCTTTTCTTTGAATACTAAGTTGATTATACCATCTTCTCTTTGAATAGGATAAAGAAAGTATTAGTTGATTAAATTAGTAATTGCTACTGTTTGTAGCTTAAAAAATTAAAATTCATCGATTTGAGAGGTGAAATGTGAAGGAGAAGATTGGCAGCCATTAAAGAAGCTTGAGGCTAGAGTCAAAAAATTTGGATATGCAAGTTTGCAATATTTTCATTTGGATGTTATCGGAGTTTGTTGGGGATCTCTTAGGAGTTCATAACCTCAATTTTGGGTGATTCGCTGAAGCATTTGGGCAGTTTGGGCAAGAATTCAGCAGCCGGTTGCGGGAAGAAGACAACTGGGCTCGATTGATCTTGTATTTGAAATCTTAAATTGATTGTTGGGCCGGAAAAGTTGAAGAATACCTTACTGGTGCGAACTCACTAATAATATGCAGAAAATTTATAGATACAGTGCAAAATTGGGATAGGTTGATTGGGTTTAGGGATTAAATTTAAAAAATGCTAACTTGGATATCTATGTGGCAATTTTTTTTGAGGGATTGGGTACCACAGTGGATGTCCATTAGGGCTAGGGGCAATTTTAGTTACTTTGTCAATGGTAGGGGTGGATTTGAACGGAAAATCTAACGGGGAATAAACGTAAACTATTTACCAAAGTAGAGGAATAAATCCGACATTTTTTCCAAATAATATTTCTATTTTGAGTGAAGGTGGGGGGTTCGAGAGGTAGTGTGGGGGTTGGGGTGGTAGGAGGTAGGTTGGAGGTGGGTTGGGGGTGGCTGAAAATTTTTAATTTTACTACTTTTGTTATTATTCTTATCTTTGTAAGTATTATAAGATAAATAACTATCAAATAAAGTTCCAAATCTAAATTGAGGAAAGAAGTCATTAGAGTATAATAAGCGACTAAAATACGTAATTATAGCCTGTCATCAATTATTGAGATAGCAAAATGATTGATCAAAACATTTACTTACTATTATAAAGAATTATAGGAGTAATTATTTAAAATATACTACTTGTTATCATGGGCGAATCTATAGCCTAATGTATGGGGCACGCGAACTCATGGCCTCTCTACCGAACTAGGTATTTTATGTACATATTTTTCAGAAATTTAATATTACCTATTGACACCCATGCTCTATAAAGACTAAATGGTGCACTTGGTTGAATGTTGAGTTATTTACTTAGAGAAGTAGGGACCAATTCCACTAAATACTTTTATTTTTCTCCTTTTTAGTGGTGCACCCATGTTATAAAATCCTAAATTCGCCCCTACTTGTTATATGAAGTATATAATATGAATAATATTTAGAGCCCTATATTTTTGGGGGCCTGGGGTTGAGCTGCCCCTGACCAGCAACGCCACCTTATTGCCAATTAGCAATTAACAGTTCGTGAATTGTGGTGACGGACTAGCTAGCTCGGTGTTCCTCTACCTTCTATTGTTGTTGATAAAATATAAAACAGAATATAGCAAGCAGTGCTTTTTTTTGTACCAAAGATAAAATATTATTAATTAGACCGATGCGTACATATATATTGGTGCTCGGGTTGCACCCTATTACACGCTAAAGCATTCAAACTAGTAGTTACCATATTACAAACTAACATGTTACTAGTAATAACTATATTGTTTGTAGCATTCCTAGTCGAGCTATTAGTACAAAAGCAGTTGGAATCTGGGATAACTTGATCATGCAAGTGAGCTACTGGTAGTGGTATGGAATGTGTGGCTGACATAAGCTGTTGATCATTTTCCCAAATTTTCTTAACAAAAGGTGGTAGCTGATTCAAAACATGTATATTATAGGTCCCGTCCAAAAAACTTTCCGATTTTGCTAGCTGATCCGCTAATTTATTTTGCTCTCTGTACGCATGGCTAACTGTTGGATGATGGAGCATCCAGAGTAGGTGCCTGCAATCAGTTAATAGATTAGCAAAGTTTAAATTTCCGACGTGCAGTAAAGTAATTACCTCCTTGGCGTCAATTTCCACTTGGATTGGTAGTAGATTGTAAAGTTTAGCCAGTATAAGGCCATGTAGTAACGCATATAATTCTGTTGTAGTAACTGATTGACGGGGTATGTTTCCTCAAAATCATATAATCCAGTCCCCATTATGATTTCTAATTATTCCTCCAATGCTATTTCTGTTAAGAGCTGAGGAGTGTGCACCATCTGTATTTAGTTTATATATATTAGGTTTTGGTGGGATCCATTTTAGAGGTACCCTTATTCGTCGTTGAATTTTATGAGTTGAAACTGCTAGGTAGCAGAATTCAGTAGCCAATTGGGTAGTAAAATAAATACTAATTTGTTTATGAAGTCCAAATATTTCACAACTTAATGGCAAGTAGGTATGTGGATGGATATTATGAGGGAATTTTATTTGTTTATAGCTAAGTAAAGGTCGAAGCCATTGTTGTGGAGCAATAAAGTTAACTAGAGTATCTATATATTGTCCCATTCCTAGATTCTTCCAGTATGTTTGTGCATTTGTACAAGTTAAGAAAATATGAATTGTTGATTCTTCAGCGTTATGGCCGTACGGACATTCCCCATTTATGATGATGTTAAGATATTGGAATGTTGGAAGTCAATTAAGACTAAGTAGCCAAATGAAGTATTTAATTTTTGGGTGTATGGGAAGGTCCATATCCATCCAAAATTATACATTGTGTTATGGTCATCATCAAAAAATTTCTCCATGGCTTTGTACATTGACTTTACTGTAAATTGACCATTGCTAGTTAAACCCTAAAAAATCCTATCAGCTTTATTATTGTATGCTGAAATGTAAGGAGTACTTATAGTGTTTTTTATGTCATTTGTAAACTCAAATGACAGTAAGTCCTATTTCCAACCGTTAGATCATGAAGGGAATTGATTTTTATTGTTTGGGATTCCAAAGGTATTGGGCCACTGATTAGTGAGCGAACAGTTATCCCATTTCTTATCCAGCAGTCGGTCCAAAAATTAATGTGCGTGCTTGTTCCTATTTGCCATTGTAAACCTAGTTGGCAGTGCTCCCAACCCTTTAATATGTTGCGCCAAGTAGCGGAATAATATGTAGAAGATAATAAATGTAGGAATTTCTGAATTAAGATTTTAGCCCAAAGAGTTGGGGGGGGGGGGGGGGATGAAATGCTCTCCATGCTAGGCCAGCCAATAAGGCATTGTTCTTTTGATTAAGGCATTGGATTCCTAATCCCCTTATTTGGCGAGGCGTACAAATTTTTTTCTACTTTAAAAGATGTAGCTTCTTTCTCGTTGTTGTTGTTCCCCACAGAAAATTTTATTGATATTGATCCATTTTATTAATGATTGGTGTTGGAATATGAATATATTGCATGACATGATTTGATATATTGTTAGGCGTTGATTTAATTAGAGTAGCCCATCCCGCCATAGTTAGAAAGTTAGTTTTCCACCTTGCTAACCTAGATCGGGAGTTATCCAATATGAATTGGAAGTCTGGCTTTTTTTGGCATGATTGGAAAATAGGAAACCCTAAGTACTTACCGAAGTTGTTCCCTTCTTTGATTTGGAAATAACTTAGCGCCAACTCCTTATCATTTATTGTACAATTCCTTGAGAAGAACAACTTTGACTTTTCAAAGCTTATTTGTTGTCTTGAATATTCGCTGAAATGATTTATAACATCGATTACCGCATTGTAACTTTTAGGTGTTGTTTTGGAAAAAAGTATGATATCATTTGCAAAAAAAAAAGGTGGGACAGTTTTGGTCCTTGTTTTGCAATATTTATTGATTTTCATTGTAAGTAGTCGACAGATAAGTTAATGCATCGTGAAAATATTTCCATACATATAATAAATAAGTATGGTGATAAAGGGTCACCTTGTCGAGTCCCTCTTGAAGGTGTGAAATAAGGTGTACGTGAGCCATTGAGGAGAATAGAAGTGGAAGTGGTCGTAACACATGACATAATTAACTTTATCATAGAAGTAGGAATGGCAAAATAGATAACTGTTTTCCTAATAAACGGCCATTCCAGTCTATCAAAGGCCTTTTCAAGGTCTAATTTTCGAAGCATGTAACCAGTCTTTCCTTTCTTTTTTGCAAAGTGGTTTAAAGCTTCTTGGACTATTATGGCATTATCAGAAGCTCGTTTACCCTATTGGAAGCTGGTTTGCGTTGGTCCTATTATTGACAAAATCATAGGCTTAAATCTATTGACTATAATTTTTGTTATAATTTTGTAGATGGTGTTACAAAGACTTATTGGCATGTATTGTTGGATAGTCTGAGCGTGTTTTACCTTTGGAATAAGACATATAAGTTTGGTTTAGCAAGGTGGGTATGGTCTTAGTATTAAAGATTTCGTGACAAAATTGTTTTACCTTGTTACCTACCACAGGCCAGTATTTTTGATAAAAGAAAGGGTGAAACCCATGTGGACCTGGTGCCTTATAAGGACTAACATTGTATAGAGCTTGAGTGATTTCATTGTCCTTAAACGGCTCATCTAAAAGGTTAGTATGTAGCATATAGGGGTCTGCTTCATTAAAAAAATGAATTGGCTGATCATGTTTAGTAGTGAAGAGATTGAGGTAGTAATTTTGAATGATTTTTTTAATTTCATTTTGATCAAAATACCAATTACCCACTGAATCCTTTAGGGAGGTTCTATTTCTTCTACGTCTATGTAAGGTAGACATGTGGAAGAATTTGTGTTGGCGTCGCTATCATTTAGCCACTTTAATCTGGATTTTAGTTTTCAAAAGTCTTCCTCTATCCTAAGAATGCTACTAAATTCATTAGTCAAATGTGATTCTAGATTTTGTAGGAAAACACAAGTAAGGTAATGTATCGATGATTGTATTCCAGCTAGCCTAGCTAGTAATTTCCTTTTACATTTGAATATGTTTCCAAATACTAAACTGTTCCAGGTTGTAACTACATCCTGGAATTTTTTAGTTGTTTCCATTAGTGCTTGATTTTCATTCCATGTTTGGTTTACTAATTGAGGAAATTGTGGATAAGACACCCGCATAGTTTCAAACCTAAAATTTTTTGTGGTACTATGTATTTTGGCCTCTAAAGTTATTAGAAGAGGACAATGGTCAGAATATGTCCTTGGTAGATGTTGCACCGTAGCCTCAGGGTACATATCAATCCACTCATAATTAGCCAGAAAACGATCAAGTCCTTCAAGAATTGCATGACCATTTCTACGTTTGTTAGTCCATGTAAAACGACTTCCCCTAAACCCTAAACCAATTAGCTTGCAATAATTAATACAATTTGCAAATTTGTCTACTCTATTTCTGTTAGTTTATATGAGTCCACCCAACTATAGAGTACCTGGTCCTCTATGAGTTTTTACTGAGAATACTAATGGAACAGTAAGTAAAAGAGACACGGGATTTTTACGTGGAAAAATACCACACAAGGGGACAAAAACCATGATCTAAACTCGCAGGCTTTCAACTTCACTAACTTGTAAACACTCTATTACAAGCCAGTTTGTGACTCTATTACAAAGACTTCAACTCAACTAACATGTGATACTCTTACCACAAGTCACTTTGTCACTCACTAGTTACAAAGACTTTAACTTATGACTAACTCTTGTCACAACAAAAACTTAGAAGGTTTATGATTTTGGGTTTCCTAAAACAAAGCTTCTAAGAAAGAAAGATAGGAGTTACAACAAAGAACAAACAACAAGATTACAACTCAACTACGAATACACATAGACTCATTGTGGAACTGATCCTTAGTAGAGTTGTCTTCTTTTTCTTGATACACTTGTGACTTCAATGCTGGATAGGATCTTTAATTGCTTGAGAGAATATCACTAAATGCTTAAGTGAATATCTTGTGTCTTGCACCATGTTGTTATACCACCAAAGACATCCCAAGAATGCTGTCAATTCTTGGGTTGGTACACGCCTCTTCCCAATGAGAAGTGACTGCTGCACTGTCGCGTGTACAGTTGCAGGCAGTTACTTTATGCAGTTACTTTCCAGTTGTATAGTTGACTTGTACTTCTGTCAGAGAACACCCACAGATTAGGTCCCTGTCTTGTTCCTTTTTTCTCTTTATTTTCAGCAGTTCACGTTAGATGGAGTTCAGGCTGGACTTCGTTCATTTGTAATATGTACCAAGTGGGTCAGGTTTCCTATCTGGTTCTTGACAGTAAGTTTGTTAGATCGTCAAAACATAAGGCAAAAACATTGAAAACCCATCAATTTCCCCCTTTTTGATGATGACAAACTTAGACATTGATTTAGAGCAGAAACAACCAGATGAGGTAACAGGAACTTCACAAGTTCCCCCTGACTTTATGCTTCCCCCTTAATCAGATCCCTAATTCAATTAAGGTTCCCCCTTTTGGCATCAATAAAAAGACACAAATAGGCAAACAACATAAAGAAGTCTAGCCTAGCTAACTCATGCCACATGTGTGCACACAACATGACAGAAAAGAGAAGCAAAAAGGAGAACAACATTGTACAAGCAAAAGAAGAGTTATTTCATTGATAAGAAAATGGACTGATTAAACAGGAGCAGTAACGGTGAAATCCAACATGCCAGCACAACAAAAAGGCAAACAAAAGAAAATAACAGCCACAAAACATTATAACAGAAGACAACTGGTCACTGAGAGGTTTCTAAGGGGCACTAGAAGAGGAAGACTTGGAGAGGGAGGCAACAAGGGTTTTGAGAACCAGGTCCATACGGGTATTTGCAGATATCTGTTCTTCAAGCAGTTTTGCGCGAAGCTCATCATTTTCCTCGGTCAAGCGGGCAACTTCTTCATGGGAAGAATTAACAGAACCAGGTGCCCCAATAGCTTGACTAAGCTGAGTTTCCAGTATGGCATTGTGAACCCTCAACCTCCTGATCTCTTCGGTAGCAGCATTTTGAGAATTGATCAGCTGAGAAATGGTCGAGGTGCTTCCACCAACCTTTTCTACACACTCACATTCCTCCAAAGTGGTTTTGGAGAAGGTTTGCTTGTGGGTGCCCACTCTGGGATTATCCAAGGGAACTTTGTAGAACCTAAACACTCGAGTGATGAGAAAGCCATATGGAAGCCCGTGATTGCCACCTTTAAAGTTTGCCACCTTTTGCATATGTTCTATCATG